TATTGATTATCATAATTCATATCGACATCCATGAGATGATAACAAAACTAATCAAAATATTTTTTTACAATTGTAATGAGTGATTTTTTTTATTAAATTATGTCAACAAAATTACTATGAAATTGGTATTATTGGTCTTATTCAAAATATATCTAATCAATCAATCATTCTATTTAAGTGTGTATGTGTGTGTGTTTTTGTTTATATATTACTGTTGATTTTTGTTTTTTTATATTTACCCAATCGTCAAAACAAAACTTGTACTAATACATTTATATCTTTGAGTATATTATTAATTATATAATTTATCTTCACAGTCTTTGAGACCAAATTTTACTTCAAGCAATAATTAATTTAAAAATTTTCAAAGTCGTGCTAATACATTTATATCTTTTATTATATTATTAAAACAATTAATTTATCTTCACGAATCTTTGAGACCAAATTATTTTAAGTCAAACAATAATTGGTTCAAATATTCTCAAATTCCTTAATGAACTAACCAATTATGGTTTTATGTAATAAATGAATGTCTAATAGTAATTGCCAAATTTAGCTGAAATATTTAGGCGGGAAAATTTGTTATATATATAGTAAAATGGATTGGTCCATTATATAGATATAGATTTACTATTTTTTAAAATAGCAGGTGTCAAAATCATTTTGCATTAATTACATTCCATTCTTAGTAACTTTTTTTTAAAGGCATCATTAAATGCTACCCATTAATTAAGGATTTTGTTATTTTTGGGTTTCAACCAAAACCATGAATGTTGCCTATTATTTGGGGCTGATGTTGTTTTATTTTTAAAAATCATGTTTAATAAAAGAAATAGAGCTAATTGCTAATATAAACTTTAGTTTTTTTGCGTTTGACAATTTTATCCCAATCTTTGGGTAATTGCAATATAATCTGGACCTCAATTCACTTATTGCAAGTCGAACCTAAAACTGATTGGACCTTCAAAAAACTGGTCGACTTGAAGGCGATTCGAACATATCGGAGCTCATATCTATCGGTTCACTCCAAATCTAGGAGAATACTCATCACCGGTAGCTTACCTTGACGTAGAATTTTCGACTTTGTGCGTGGATATACATTAAATACGTGGAAATTGTCAACTTGCTACGTGGATGACATAAAAACCCATGTCAATGGAAGACTTGGACACAAAATTGATCCACAAATCTCAAAAATTAATCAATATGCACCCAAATTTGCAATGAGTAAATTGAAGTCGAGATTATATTGCAATTACCCAAAGATTGGGATAAAATTGCCAAACGCAAAAAGGTTAAGTTTTATTTAGCAATTAACTCAAAGAAATAACTATATATTACCCTAAATTGCTGGATAATTAAATTGTATTGCTTTGCGTCTTCACTTGCTTAATAAATTAATAAGTGTTGATTTCATACTCAACGGGTCAAACATTTTTTTTTTTATTTCAAATTAAGAAATAAATATGTAACCGATAAAAAAAGAATTAAATATGTATAGATAATATATTAATTATTTTACAAGCTAGCCCTAATATACAAGTGAAAAATATATGATAACCCTATTGATTTTTAGACTTAAACGAACAAAGTCGTCTGAAAATAATTCATTTAATATCTATGTCCCGTGCATTGCACCGGGTACGTACTAGTTTACCTTCATATGAAAGTATTTTCAATTATATCTAATGAAGCTAATTTATTTATGAGATTGCATCAATAGCAGTTACCATATACATTCAACTTTCATCCCCCTTTTTTTGGACTTGATTGAGAGAGAGAGAAAAAAAAATAATAATAATTGATTCATTTATTAATTCCTTAGTTCACGCAACTTGTACATCGTAATTCATGCAGCCGTCAGGTAGTATATTTTGAGTTTATGTTAGTATATATTCAGTGTATGTTGCAATATTATAATTCAGCCGCCAGGTGGTATATTTTGAGTTTATATTAGTACATATTCAGTATATGTGCAATAAAAAACAAGTCTTCCACAAAAAAAATTATATCTTTTTTTTTTTTTTTACTTTTATACATAAAAGTATATAGAAACATATTATAACATTTACTTATATTCCATATACAAACAAATCTTCGAACATGTTGAACATATATTGAACATATACTCCATATACACACAACATGTACTGAACAATAAAAAATTATGTCTTTTTTTTTACTAGAAATATACGCAAAAATATACCCAAAAAAACGAAGACGTGAAATTTTATACCGAAAAAATTATGTCTTCTAATATACCGAAATTTTTGGGAGAATTATTACCTCGCATACACAAAAAATACATTTCAAATATACTAACAAAATATATTCTAATATACCCAACATAAACTATTAAAAAAAAAAATCAATCCCCTTATTATTACATTCCAAACGTGCGTGTTTGGTTCAGTCATTCTCTCGAACATTCGGAGTGCAGATTCCAAACTACCCGATTTTACACCTTTTCAGCTGCTGAAACTGAACTTCGACACTCGTGTTGGTTAACGAGGTCGTGCTCGGCCTTGATCCATGGGGTTTGATTTTTGATTGGTGGTTTTTGAGTTTTCTTAAAGATTGGACTTTTACAGGAAATATGTCGTATTTTGAAGTATTGGGTTCGATAAGAAGGTGGAAATTGATCCATGCATGAGCCATTTTGGATTAGAAGAGATGACCTTTAATTCTGTTATTTGAGCATTCATGTCTTTTCCAGTCTTCCATTTTTAATTGCTTTTAATTTGTCAAAGTAAATGCTTTGTAACGGTTTAGGTCGAAGTGAAATATCTTATTCATGTTCTAGTTAACTTACAAATCTTAATATAATAGGTGTAGAAGTGTAATATATTTCACAACTTAAAGTAAGGAGTGCAAATTTCTCAATTAGGGATTTATTCCCTGTGTTTGGGTTGTTTCTCTTTCGGCCCAATTATGGTGCTTTTCGTCACTTGAACAGTCAACCGATTCGTCGCATCTATAAAATTTAAAATAGTTTGACTGTGCCATAAAAATTTTAGAAAATTTCAACTCAATCAGTTCATTCCACTCAATTTTTTGTCCA